TCATCTAGGTTTCTTATCTTCCTTATTATCTAAGCATCATCAGCAAACATGTTCATATAATTCTGTATTCCCACTAGTAGATCGTTTATGTAGACAATGAACATTACCGGTGCAAGAACTGAACCCTGTGGTACTCCACTCGTAACATTCCTCGAATCCGATACCTTGCCTCTGATTACAGCCCTCATTTTTCTGTCAGTTAGGAAATTTTTCATCCATGTTAGTAGCTTACCTGTCACTCCACCAAAATGTTCCAGTTTCCAGAACAACCTCTTATGGTGAACTCTGTCGAAAGCCTTTTTTAGGTACAGATAGATGCAGTCAACCCAACCATCTCTTTCATGTAAAATCTCTGTGGCTCAATCATAAAAACTGAGCAACTTCATTACACAGGATCTTCCAGATCGAAAACCATACTGTCTGTCTGATATTATATCATTTCTCTCCAGGTGTTCTACCCATTTAGTTTTAATTATTTTTTCCAATATTTTGACTATTACACTTGTCAATGATACAGGTCTATAATTAAGGGGGTCTTCCCTGTTTCCACTTTTGTAGATTGGAACTATGTTAGCCTTTTTCCACACATCAGCTACAACTCCTGTACACAGGGATGCCTGAAAAATCAGTTAAAGTAGAATGCTGAGCTCAGGTGCACATTCTCTCAGAACCCATGGTGAAACTCCATCTGGACCAAATGCTTTGTTCTTACTTAGCTCCTTGAGCATTTTTTCCACTTCATCTCTAGACACCTTTATGTGATCTATGTTGTTCCCTGGAATTCTAATTGTGTCTGGTTCCCTAAAGATTTCATTTTGTACAAACACACTTTGGAACTTATCGTTTAGTGTTTCACACATTTCCTTTTCATTTTCCGTGAATCTATTTCCCATTTTCAACCTCTGAATATTATCCTTTACATGCAATTTGTTGTTTATGAATTTATTGAATAGACCTGGTTCTGTTTTACATTTGTGTGTGTGTAATTACCTAAGTAACTACCTAAGTGTAGTTACAGGATGAGAGCTACGCTCGTGGTGTCCCGTCTTCTCGTGGTGTCCCGTCTTCCCAGCACTCTTTGTCATATAACACTTTGAAACTACTGACGGTCTTGGCCTCCACCACCTTCTCACCTAACTTGTTCCAACCGTCTACCACTCTGTTTGCGAAAGTGAATTTTCTTATATTTATTTGGCAGCTGTGTTTAGCTAGTTTAAATCTATGACCTCTTGTTCTTAAAGTTCCAGGTCTCAGAAAATCTTCCCTGTCGATTTTATCAATTCCTGTTACTATTTTGTATGTAGTGATCATATCACCTCTTTTTCTTCTGTCTTTTAGTTTCGGCATATTTAATGCCTCTAACCTCTCGTTGTAGCTCTTGCCCTTCAGTTCTGGGAGCCACTTAGTAGCATGTCTTTGCACCTTTTCCAGTTTGTTGATGTGCTTCTTAAGATATGGGCACCACACAACCGCTGCATATTCTAGCTTTGGCCTAACAAAAGTCATGAACAATTTCTTTAGTATATCACCATCCATGTATTTTAAAGCAATTCTGAAGTTAGAAAGCGTGGCATAGGCTGCTCGCACAATATTCTTTATGTGGTCCTCAGGTGATAGTTTTCTATCTAGAACCACCCCTAGATCTCTTTCTTTAACAGAATTCTTTAAAGAGTTCTCACATAATATATAGGTTGTGTGGGGTCTATGTTCTCCTATTCCACATTCCATAACATGGCATTTATTAACATTAAATTCCATTTGCCAAGTGGTGCTCCATATACTTATTTTGTCCAGGTCTTCTTGAAGGGCATGACAATCATCTAAATTTCTTATCCTTCCTATTATCTTAGCATCATGTGCAAACATGTTCATATAATTCTGTATACCAACTGGTAGATCATTTATGTAGACAATAAACATCACTGGTGCAAGAACTGAACCCTGTGGTACTCCACTTGTGACATTTCTCCATTCCGATACATTGCCTCTGATTACTGCCCTCATTTTTCTATCAGTCAGAAAATTTTTCAGCCATTTTAGAAGCTTACCTGTCACCCCTCCAATATTTTCCAGTTTCCAGAACAACCTCTTATGTGGAACTCTGTCGAAAGCTTTTTTTAGGTCCAGATAGATGCAGTCAACCCAACCATCTCTTTCCTGTAATATCTCTGTGGCTCGATCATAGAAACTGAGTAAATTCGATATACAGGATCTTCCAGATCGAAAACCATACTGTCTGTCTGATATTATATCATTTCTCTCCAGGTGTTCTACCCATTTAGTTTTTATTAGTTTTTCCAATACTTTCACTATTACACTTGTCAATGATACAGGTCTATAATTGAGGGGGTCTTCCCTGCTGCCACTTTTGTAGATTGGAACTATGTTAGCCTGTTTCCACACGTCTGCTACGATTCCTGTACACAGGGATGCCTGAAAGATCAGGTGAAGTGGAATGCTGAGCTCAGATGCACATTCTCTCAGAACCCATGGTGAAACTCCATCTGGGCCAGCTGCTTTGTTCTTACTGAGCTCCTTTAGCATATTTTCCACTTCATCTCTAGACACCTCTATCCGCTCTATGTTGTTCTCTGGAATTCTTATCGTGTCTGGTTCTCTGAAGATTTCATTTTGTACAAACTCACTTTGGAACTTTTCATTTAATGTTTCACACATTTCCTTTTCATTTTCCGTGAATCTGTTTTCCATTTTCAACCTCTGGATATTATCCTTTAACTGCAATTTGTTGTTTATGAATTTATAGAATAGGCCAGGTTCTGTTTTACATTTATCCGCTATCCCTTTTTCAAAATTTCTTTCTGCCTCTCTCCTGTGTGTGCTTGTGTGTACTCACCTAATTGTACTCACCTAATTGTGCTTGCGGGGGTTGAGCTCTGGCTCTTTGGTCCCGTCTCTCAACCGTCAATCAACAGGTGTACAGGTTCCTGAGCCTATTGGGCTCTATCATATCTACACTTGAAACTGTGTATGGAGTTTCAGCCTTCACCACATCACTTCCTAATGCATTCCTAATGCATGCGTGTGTGTAATTAATTACCTAAGTGTAATTACCTATGTGTAGTTACAGGATGAGAGCTATGCTCGTGGTGTCCCTTCTCCCCAGCACTCTTTGTCATATAATGCCTTGCAATTACTGACAGTTTTGGCCTCCACCTTCTCACTTAACTTGTTCCAATCGTCTACCACTCTGTTTACAAAAGTGAATTTTCGTATATTTCTCCGGCAGCTTTGTTTCGTTAGTTTAAATCTATGACCTCTCATTCTTGAAGTTCTGGGTCTCAGGAATTCTTCCCTATAAATTTTATCGATTCCTGTTACTATTTTGAACGTAGTGATCATATCGTCTCTTTTTCTTCTATCTTCTAGTTTTTGCATATTTAATGCTTCTAACCTCTTCTCGTAGCTCTTGTCCTTCAGTTCTGGGAGCCACTTAGTAGCATGTCTTTGCACTTTTTGCAGTTTGTTGATGTGCTTCTTAAGATATGGGCACCATACAACCGCTGCATATTCCAGCTTTGGTCTAATAAAAGTCGTGAACAATTTCTTTAGCATTTCTCGATCCATGTATTTAAAAGCAATTCTGAGGTTAGAAAGTGTAGCATAGGCTCCACGCACAATGTTCTTAATGTGGTCCTCAGGTGACAGTTTTATATCTAGAACCACCCCTAGATCCCTTTCTTTGTCAGAATTTTTTTAAAGATTTCTCACATAATTTATAGGTTGTGTGGGGTCTATGTTCTCCAATTCCACATTCCATAACATGGCATTTATTCACATTAAATTCCATTTGCCAAGTGTTGCTCCATATACTTATTTTGTCCAGGTCTTCTTGAAGGGCATGACAATCATCTAAGTTTCTTATCTTCCCTATTATCTTCGTATCATCAGCAAACATGTTCATGTAATTCTGTATTCCAACTGGTAGATCGTTTATGTAGACAATGAACATTACCGGTGCAAGAACTGATCCCTGTGGTACTCCACTCGTGACATTCCTCCAATCCGATACCTTGCCTCTGATTACAGCCCTCATTTTTCTGTCAGTTAGGAAATTTTTCATCCATGTTAGTAACTTACCTGTCACCCCCTTCAATATGTTCCAGTTTCCAGAGCAACCTCTTATGGGGAACTCTGTCGAAAGGCTTTTTTAGGTCCAGATAGATGCAGTTAACCCAACCATCTCTTTCCTGTAAAATCTCTGTGGCTCGATCATAAAAACTGAGTAAGTTTGTTACCCAGGATCTTCCAGATTGAAAACCATACTGTCTGTCTGATATTATATTTTTTATATATCGTGTGTGTATGTGTGTGTGTGTGGGGGGGAGGGGGGGAGTGAGGTCGCAAGGCCTCACATTTTTAAGGAGGTTTACCTCAGTTTCTCAGTGTAATTGAGTACAGAATCCATCTATTTGAATGGATTTATTATATCTATTATATGTCCAATTTCCTGTTTTTGTTTTGTTTTGTTTTTTAATAAATGTAATGCATCCATCATGCTGGTTTGTTTGAGTACCAAAATTCAAAGTCATTGTGCCGTTTACTTGTCATTTCCTCTTATATTTGAAGTGTATTTTATAATATTTGTTCTGTATTTCCAATTTGAAATAACTTACAAACACCATAACTAGGGAACAGGGAGGCATTGTATATTTACTAAATTACCCATCGAAAAAGTTGCTCGGTGAGTAGATCTTTCCGATCCCTCTCCAGGTATGCACTCCCCTTTTTCTAACAATGAAAAAAAAAATTCAGAACAAATTCTATGTGCCAAGGCTACTGCTAGTTTTAAAACTGCATTTGAATACTGACATAACATTAGTTTAGTTTGAATACTGACATAACATTAGTTTAGTTTGAATACTGACATAACATTAGCATAGTTTGAATACTGACAAAACATTAGCATAGTTTGAATAATCACAAAGCATTAGTAGTAGTTTGAATAGAGACAAAACATTAGCAGTAGTTTGAATACTCACAAAGCATATGGTCTAATTGTTTCTCAGTAAGACTTTCTTGCTGCTTCATATACACTATGGTTCGAGGCTCTACAGCAGTAAACTGTACTCGAGTGCGTCGAAACTGTTCTCCATCTTCACCTTCTTCATTATCATCATCATCATCCTGAAATACAAAAAATGTAAAAAAAAAGCTCTCTGAAGCTACTATTACTGATTTAGTGCCATCCTACTAGGTGCCATTAGTCGTGGAGTTCTATTGGCCTACTGGGAATCACGAGGGGCTGGCTCACACTGCACACTGCAGAAAGCAGTGTGGTCTCTGAATACCTTACATTTAAAATTAATCATAACTGCCACGACCAAGGAAAGAACCCAAAAAAGTTAGGTGAAACAAAGACTACTGCATGGTTAAAATGAGCCCACAACCTAACAAATTGCCAAAAGAACAACCCCAACAATAAAAACAGAGAGAGAAAGGTGCTGAATGTCAAATATCTCTTCCTCTTCCCTGATGAATATCTAATCCAGCATGGACGATTTGATATTCACTGACTCCTCCACCCTGGAAGACATAGCACCATGAGCTTAGCTCTCATCTGTAACTACACAGGTAATTACAAAAATTTTGTGAAACTAGCACGAGCTAGTTTGCCCCACTTCCCCCCCCTCCTTGCCTGGGGAAAGGAGGGAGGATGGACCGGGGCAGCTGGCCCACCCCACCCATCAGTTCTATTCTGATGGTGCCTGGGGGGAAGGAGGAAGGTGGACCGGGGCAGCTGGCCCACCCCACCTAAAAGTTCTATTCTGATGGTGCCTGGGGAAAGGAGGAAGGTGGACCGGGGCAGCTGGCCCACCCCACCCATCAGTTCTATTCTGATGGTGCCTGGGGGGAGGAGGTAGGTGGACCAGCTCAGCTGGCCCACCCCACCCATCAGTTCTATTCTGATGGTGCCTGGGGGAAGGAGGTAGGTGGACCAGCTCAGCTGGCCCACCCCACCCATCAGTTCTATTCTGATGGTGCCTGCAGGGAGGAGGTAGGTGGACCGGGGCAGCTGGCCCACCCCACCCAAAAGTTCTATTCTGATGGTGCCTGGTCACTGTGTGTCGGTCTGGCTCTGGTTTCCTTGTTTTCAAATGATATTTTGCCATTGTGGCCATTCTTATGCATGGTTGTGTAGTGTGAGCCAGGGGTTCAAGAGTGCTTGGGGCTGCATGTGCTCAGGGTTATCTTCCCTGTGCACCTCTTGAGCACTGCCCTTGTGCGGCCAGGGTTCTCTTTCCTGGGGAGTGCGGAACGCTCCCTTTAGAGGGTTTCATTGCTTGGGGTTGCCTTCACTGGTTCTGATAAGCCAGTGGTCTGTGATATCTGCCTTTCCTCAGGATGGGAGTGCTTTTGCTGGTGGGGCACACTGTGGTTCGCACGCTTAATCAGTGTTCCAGAAAGATCTAATCAGGCTATCTGGATGCTTTTCCAGTGTGACAGTGAAATGTCATTTGTTCTATGCACCTCTGTAAGGAGGTGGGGGGCACCAGGCTCTGGTTCTAGTTCCTGATTGGTCAAACAACTTCTGCAACTAATGTGACCTATATTATATAGAGTAATCTCAGCGAGATAGCTTCAGGGAGCCACTATTGGCCACCTCCATGAAAGCCAAAGATATACTAGAGCAAAAGCCAAACCAAACAACGGAGTGAAAACTAAGCACAGAACTCCCTACGTAGGCACTAGAAAACTCAAGTAACAAAAGGCAAAGAACTTAACTAAAATTTAATCTCTGTAAAGCTGGCAACAGAATGGGGTGAATAGTAGTTTTATGTAATTACCTAAGTAATTACCTAAGTGTAGTTACAGGATGAGAGCTACGCTCGTGGTGTCCCGTCTTCCCAGCACTCTTTGTCATATAACGCTTTGAAACTACTGACGGTCTTGGCCTCCACCACCTTCTCACTTAACTTGTTCCAACCGTCTACCACTCTATTTGCGAAGGTGAATTTTCTTATATTTCTTCGGCATCTGTGTTTAGCTAGTTTAAATCTATGACCTCTTGTTCTTGAAGTTCCAGGTCTCAGGAAGTCTTCCCTGTCGATTTTGTCAATTCCTGTTACTATTTTGTATGTAGTGATCATATCACCTCTTTTTCTTCTGTCTTCTAGTTTTGGCATATTTAATGCTTCTAACCTCTCCTCGTAGCTCTTGCCCTTCAGTTCTGGGAGCCACTTAGTAGCATGTCTTTGCACCTTTTCCAGTTTGTTGATGTGCTTCTTAAGATATGGGCACCACACAACAGCTGCATATTCTAGCTTTGGCCTAACAAAAGTCATGAACAATTTCTTTAGTATATCGCCATCCATGTATTTAAATGCAATTCTGAAGTTAGAAAGCATAGCATAGGCTCCTTGCACAATATTCTTTATGTGGTCCTCAGGTGATAGTTTTCTATCTAGAACCACTCCTAGATCTCTTTCTTTATCAGAATTCTTTAAAGATTTCTCACATAATATATAGGTTGTGTGGGGTCTATGTTCTCCTATTCCACATTCCATAACATGACATTTATTAACATTAAATTCCATTTGCCAAGTGGTGCTCCATATACTTATTTTGTCCAGGTCTTTTTGAAGGGCATGACAGTCATCTAAATTTCTTATCCTTCCTATTATCTTAGCATCATCAGCAAACATGTTCATATAATTCTGTATACCAACTGGTAGATCATTTATGTACACAATAAACATCACTGGTGCAAGAACTGAACCCTGTGGTACTCCACTTGTGACATTTCTCCATTCTGATACATTGCCTCTGATTACTGCCCTCATTTTTCTATCAGTCAGAAAATTTTTCATCCATGATAGAAGCTTACCTGTCACCCCTCCAATATTTTCCAGTTTCCAGAACAACCTCTTATGTGGAACTCTGTCGAAAGCCTTTTTTAGGTCCAGATAGATGCAGTCAACCCAACCATCTCTTTCCTGTAATATCTCTGTGGCTCGATCATAGAAACTGAGTAAATTCGATACACAGGATCTTCCAGATCGAAAACCATACTGTCTGTCTGATATTATATCATTTCTCTCTAGGTGTTCTACCCATTTAGTTTTGATTAGTTTTTCCAATACTTTCACTATTACACTTGTTAATGATACAGGTCTATAATTGAGGGGGTCTTCCCTGCTGCCACTTTTGTAGATTGGAACTATGTTAGCCTGTTTCCACCCGTCTGCTACGATTCCTGTACACAGGGATGCCTGAAAGATCAGGTGAAGTGGAATGCTGAGCTCAGATGCACATTCTCTCAGAACCCATGGTGAAACGCCATCTGGGCCAGCTGCTTTGTTCTTACCGAGCTCCTTGAGCATTTTTTCCACTTCGTCTCTAGACACCTCTATGTGTTCTATGTTGTTCTCTGGAATTCTTATTGTATCTGGTTCCCTAAAGATTTCATTTTGTACAAACACACTTTGGAACTTTTCGTTTAGTGTTTCACACATTTCCTTTTCATCTTCCGTGAATCTATTTCCCATTTTCAACCTCTGAATATTATCCTTTACCTGCAATTTGTTGTTTATGAATTTATAGAATAGACCTGGTTCTGTTTTACATTTGTCCGCAATCCCTTTTTCAAAATTTCTTTCTGCCTCTCTCCTCACTGCCGTGTAGTTGTTTCTCGCATCTTTGTATCGCTGGTATGTTTGGGGGTTCGGCCTCTTCCTGTATTGATTCCATTTTTGTGTCTTTCGGTCTCTAGCCCTCTCGCAATTTCTATTGAACCAATCCTGTTTCCTAGTTCTGCATCTCTGTTTTGGTATAAATTTTTTTGTGTCTTTATCATATATTTCACAAAACTTGCCATACATCTCATTCACTTCCTTGCCTAGCATCAAGTCTGTCCAATTATACTCACTAAAAAAATTTCTAAGGTCACCATAATGTCCTCTCCTGAAGTCTGGTTTTTCAACTGCTTCAACCTCCTTATTTTCTTCCAGCTTATAACGCATTGCATACTTTATTCCCAAAAAGACATGGTCACTTTTACCCAAGGGAGGAAGGTACTGAATGTCAAATATCTCTTCCTCCTTCCTGGTAAATATCAAATCTAGCATGGAGGGAACGTCCCCTTCCCTCATCCTCGTAGCTTGTTTAACATGTTGATACAAGAATGTTTCCAGGATGAGGTCTACAAATTTACAGGTCCAAAAATCTTCTGTTTTAGCTTCATATGCTTCCCAGTCTATGGATTTCAAGTTGAAGTCACCGACTATCAACAGTCGTGATCTATCGTTATCCGCTCTCACTATAATCTCTCTCATTATTGTTATAAGACCTTCACGTTTACTATCTAGCTCCTCCTTTGACCATGTGCTGCTTGGCGGTGGACTATATGCATTTATCATCATTAGTTTATCATCCTCATAGCAGATCTCTAGTGCTATTATGTCAACTTCTTGTGGATTGGCAGTCATTATTTCCTTCACCTTTAGGTGTTCTTTTACCAGCACAGCAACGCCACCGCCTTTCCTAATTTTTCTGTCCCGTCTCCAAATTGAGTAGCCCCTTGGGAATATGACCTCATTTAAAATTACATCTTCAAGTTTTGTCTCCGTGAGTGCAACAATGTCTGGTGTCTGCAGCTGTGAATACTGTGATGTGTTTATGTGAAGCATTACCATTTTCCTCCACCCTGTGGTGGTGGTCGAAGAACAGCAATATCGGGTTATGCTGAATGTTTGAGTGTTTCTTGTGTTATGAGAGCCAATTGATCAGTAGTAGATTAAGATGGATTCTCCACATCCCCAGCAGCCCATCCTCCGAATATGGGGAGGTAAATATAACAGCACAAGTAAATGTAATTATGAACTATTCCTAGCAGTCAGGAATTGTACTTATTTTCACTTAGTATTAAACCGTACAGTCAAATATATTGTGAATATTTGAGTTTACCTGAAAAGCTGAATAGAAATCCACGACCTAACCTAACCTTCTTAGTGTATGAAGATAAGCATTTCATTGCTTCTTAATTATAATTACTACTTAACCTATAGCTATATTGATATTACAGTTTTATAAAACTAATAAAACAAAACTAAAATATTTCAATAAATTGTAAAGTAACTCAGGATATTTTCAAATTTTGTATAAAATCTCTGTTGTTTAATAAAACTGAAAAAGAAATTCCTGATATTTAAAACTTGTGTATAGCAAATTGAACTTGAAAACTTCATCCTAAAATTATGAGTGCCTTAACCACCGTGCTGCGCCGAGTTTATTGTAAAATTCCCCCGGTGCGCATGAAATAAAGTGTTCCCCAAAATTCTTTTTTCTTCGTAAAATGATAAATTCCCTTCCCTGAACATGTCTATGTAAAAATAAATACCAAATTCCACTTACTTTGGCTGTGGGGATGTGGACAAGGTGCGCTATGATGTCATCAGGGCCTGGTCGCCCGTGCGTGAATCGCCCAGACACTGTCGCACGGGCCATTCAAGCACAGCGTGTTGCCACAAATATATTTTTAATTATTTGTTTTCTGTATTTCCAAAGTGGTTATATTTGTTTTTTATCGTATATGATGCATATTTGTCCTTTACAATATGTATACAGTTAAACGTTCATAATATTCCATGGAACTGTGATACATGTGTCAGTAATGTGTCCACAATAAATGTTTATTGTCGCAATATTACCTGTTAAAAATTCACTAAAATTACAATATGTACAGTTTCACACACTATTTACACAGTAACACACTGTATTACACACCCAGTACTTTGGAAGTGAGTAATAATCAACGAAGTAGTCCATGGTACACAGCGCGACTTCGCTCTCAGTGCACCGGGTACAGAAAATTTTTCACTTCCTGTTTCTTCATTCTGTGTGCTTGCAAATAACGCACTTACGTACACCCTTGGCTTTAGTACTTGTAGATTGTATGTAGCCAGGCTTGTAAAGCATAAGGTAGTATTGAAAACATTATAGGAAAAGATCAATTTGTAAGGTAGTCTTGAAAAGATCGCTTTGTATGGTCTCACACAGGAAGAGATTCAGCTTGCCTCAAAGAGTGTCCATCAGTCAGAAAGAGATTCAGCTAGCTTCAAAGAGTGTCTGTCAGCCAGGAAGAGATTCAGGTATTCTTGAAAATATCTATGGAAAACACCACCATGGAAGCCGCTAACACAGTTCATCTATGCTACTTGTATCAGAGGCATCATCACTGAACGCAGAAAACGATTCATCTATGTATCATCTAAATAAATTGGAGATAACATAGGATTGCAAGGGTGATGCTCAGAGCTACAACTGGATACACTCACTGTATCGTCCTCATAGGTGCTGTATCACTTGCATCCGACCTTTGTGTTAGGTCCTTATTGTGCCTAGCTTCACCAATATTATGACCCTTATGTTCTTCAAACTATAACGTTTGAATTTCACCAACAGAGGTTATCTTTCAACACTGCGTTGGACAGGTATTTGGGAGCCAGAGGCACGTGCGTCACCCATGGTTGCTCATTCAGTACTAACCCAGCCAGCAGCCCTAGGGCATTCTGGGAATTTTTTCCAAGATGGCTGCCTCTCACTGGAGGTCCTAAGAGTCCATTTTGTAAACAACCAACCTCGTACACATTTAGAATTGGTACCGAAAAATCAAAAAGAGTTTTCTCGGTTGGCGCAGTTTCCCGCCGACCGAGAATACAGTACTCAGTTGGCGCAGTTAACACTTTAGTCCGGGCATGACGCAGCACTGCGTCATCTGTTTACTGTCGGTAATCTCAAGGATGATGCAATTCTGCGTCATCCACTAAAATAATTGCCAAAAATCAGATTTTTATCCGATTTTTTGGGGACTGTTTGGTAACTGTCAACAAGCCGAATGCAATCTGTGACTACAATACTAACATGAAAGGTGTTGATCACTTTGACCAAATGATCAAATATTATCACTTCATAAGGAAAACTCACAAATGGACGAAGAAAATGACCTTTTATTTTGTGCAAATGGCTATCTAGAATGCTTATGTGATGTACAACTTCTACACAAAAAATACTTAACTATAATACTAAATATACTAAATACTAAACATTTGTGGGCAGGAATTGGGAGTGTAGCTGGAAGGCGTCTGGGCGCTCACTCACAGTTAACACGTGGCCCGTCTTCAACTCGTTGGCAGGTGGAGCGTGACCAGGTTTTTTACTTTATAGGCTAATATTCTTCTAGATAATTCTATTGCGAACCCATTGATACCAAAATGAAAGACCTAGGACGAAAATTGAGGTGAAAAGAGTGAACACATTTTATCACTTTTGCGCGCTCCTGGGTAACTCGTTCGCACTTTCTCTGTTTGCTGCGGGTAATTAGCCGGGCTTTTGGAGTTTATATGCATTTAGTGCTGTAGAGAATTCTATTGCGAACACAATAATACCAAATTTAATATTGTAGGACGAGAATTGAGGTGACAAAGTTAAAGAGAGTATACACTTTTCAGAATTAACGCGCGCTCCCGTGAAATGCTGGGACCCAAATCGCACAGTTGAGGGGTGGCGCACGGGGTACGCCAAAGTGTTAAGTGGTTAACAGAGAACGAGGAGAATAAATGAGGAGGTAAATGTAACAGCCCCATAAGTGCAATTATGTACTATGCATGACAGTCAGGAAAGGTACTTATTACATTTAGTATGGAGTATGCGTTGTCAGCAGTCTCAGTTGTGCGGTAAAGCCATTTGAAAAATCTCATTGCAATGGTGAATTATCACAGATATTGGTAATGAATTGTTATCCTAGGTGAACCTATAAGCCATGGCAATGAAAGCAATTGAGAGGCCTTAGCTCAGGAAATAATCAAGACTTACTACTACTTAACACTTCCGCTTGGTAACGAAGCAGCATTGCGTTGTTTTTTACTCAGGGGTAGTCCGGTAACAACGCAGCATTGCGTCGTTTCCGGTGGCAAATTGGCGGCGGCTTCGGGAGGGGGCACGCCACAGTTTTGGACATTATATGCATATACATCTGTAGGGAATTTCATTGCGAATACATTGATACCAAAATGAAAGACCTAGAACTAGAATTGAGGTAACAAAGTTGAAAAGAGTATACCCATTTTATTGCTCTTTATTAGCGCTCACTGCGGTAACGCACTGTCACTTTCTCTGTTTGCTGTGGGTGGGACGCCGGGCTTTTGGACTTTATGTTTGCATATACTTCTGTAGGGAATTCTATTGCAAACACAGCGCCACAAAAATTAAAGATCTAGGACGAGAATTGAGATGTCCAAGGTGAAGAGAGTGTACACATTTTATTGCTCTTTCACGCTCCCGGGTAACACGCTCTCACTTTCTCGCCGGGCTTTTGGGCTTTATATGCATTTAGTCCTGTAGAGAATTCTATTGCAAACACATTGATACCAAATTGAAAAACCTAGGACGAGAATTGAGATGACAAAGTTGAAGAGAGTATACACATTTCAGTATGACCGCGCTCTCTATTGTAATGAGAGGCGCCTTGGGGTGGTGCAGCGCTCTCTTTCTGGTAACTTTCATCTTGTCGGCGGGCAGAGTGTGCTGCTGTTTTTGACATTATATGCATATATTCCTGTTGAGAATTCTATTCCGAACACATTGATACCAAAATGAAAGACCTAGGAGGAGAATTGAGGTGACCAAAGTGAAAGGAGTGTACACATTTTATCGGTCTTGCGCGCTCCCGGGTAACACGCTCTCACTTTCTCTGTTTGTTGCGGATGGTACGCTGGGCATTTGGACTTTATATGCCTTTAGTCCTGTAGAGAATTCTATTGCAAATACAATGATACCAAATTGAAAAACCTAGGACGAGAATTGAGGTAACAAAGTTGAAAAGATTATACACTTCAGAATTACCGCACGCTCCTGAGAAATGCCCAAACCCACCCGGGGTAGTGTGGCGCATGTGCGCCCAGAGCATCAAAGTGTTAAGTTTTATCTTCACTCAAATCTAATTTTCAATAATGGAAGGAATTTGTTAGCCTGTGAAACCTTAGTTCTGTACATACTTATAGAGATGAATATAGTGCTATTATATATGAAGCTCAGATTGAGTATGTTATACTTACATTCCAGTCCTCTAATGTTCTTGGAACAGCACGATATGAACCTCTCATAATTCTGTCCTCCTCTTTAGGTTCAACTTTGAGGTCAGGCAATTCAACTAGATTATCTAATCTTCTTTTTTTTGGGACATATTCGCCAGGCTCCACCTCAAGAATCTGTAGAAGCAACAATTATTATCCAAAATATTAGAACCTGCTTAGTAAATACAAGGAATATGTTGAGGTAAATTGTTGCTAGAACATTTCCAATAGTAAGCAAATTAGCTCATAGAGCGCTACTTTTTTTTTTTAAGATAGCTGTTGCAATACTTAGGTAATGATGAATGCAAATATGAAATGTTGTTTGATGGGATGTTGAACTGTACCATGAGTTCGTGGAGCTGTACCATTTTTTTGAAGGGTTCTTGGTAGAATGATGGTGCAAATTAAAAAACCAGCGTTGAATGTAATGAAACGCCATTTTCTGGGTGAGTCCCGGAGGCTTCCCAGAGCTATCCAGGCTGATATGGATATATTAACTTTCTGGCATCAGTCAATGTGCATGGAGTTCTTGCCTACTGGGGACCACAAACCAGAACCTAGCCCCCTTAGAGAGGCACGAGGAGCAATGGCCTATAGAAACTCCTGTGTAGTTGGGAGCATTCTGTCTGCCATCGACTGGGTCTGGCACCCAGAAAGGTGGGCACCCCAAAACAAACCCCTATTCTGGTGAAAATATTGCTACCAAAAGCCGAACAAGAGGATAGAACACCCTAAACAAAAATTACCAAACGAGCATGACATCATCACGTTGCCGTGCCACTGTCTGCGCAACCTCCCCTCCCTTAGAAGGGGAAGGGGGAGCCTGTGACCCTCGCACTGGCAATCCACCCCTCAGTTCAGGCGCTGGATGTCAAAACATGCGAAAACACCGCCGACAGGAGTGATGGAGGTAGGGTTGCTGGGGAGCCTTTGGGTCACACCCAGAAAATGGCGTTTCATTACATTCAACGCTGATTTTCTGGAAGGAGCCCCGTAGGTTCCCTAGGCCCATCTAACCAAAGATGAAGAAAAAGAAGGACATACCTGGGAGGCAGATGCCATGCGCCCTAAACTAGAAGCAAGAAAACTGGCAACACCAAAGGACCATGTGGACGACCCGAGAGACCGGAACCCTGGAACAAGGAAGAAGGGAACCCGGGCAACCCAAAGTGCATCCACGGCCACAGATGCCGTAGTGCGCAGGCAATGGCAGAGAGCTGCAACTGGATGCAACAAAGATGCACTACCGTCCTAACCAACCAAGCATCAACAACCTAAGGACTCCTCCGGAAAGCAGCAGACACCCAACACCAGACAAGGAGATGGCTGCAGACAAACCTACCTACCTACCAACAAGAACAAAAGAGCAGAAACCCCTGGGTCGGAATAGAGCCTGAAGCCCCCCCGACCTGACCCCCATAGGGCATTATACCAACAGGAAAATGAGCCTTAGAAAAACAATCCTGAACCGAAGGGGGGTCACTACAAACTAAGGAGAAGAGAAAGCACCCGGTCCAATGACCAGGACGGCTCAGGCGGTGCAAGAGCAGGCCAGAGGTGAAACAACGCATGAGACAGCGTGCAGAATGGAACTGAAGTAACATCAATACCAAACGCAAGCATCGCACGATACGAGATGACAGTATTCAGCATAAGATGACAGTTCTGAACAACCACGAAAGGAAGGACAAGACAACCCTATCAGAGACCGAAGTACACCTACGCAGAGATAGGAAAGAATGGCAGGACCGCAAGGAACTTCATTCTGCCGCCGAGATGAAGCACTCAGGTGGGAAACCATCATTGAAGCCACCTGCGCACCATACAAGTGACGAGAGACTCAAATCAGAAAGACAAGACGCAAAGACCCGAAGAGAAGAGCGAACCAGCCACGTACCGGGCCAGACCGATCTGTAAAAATAAGCAGAGCCATGGGAAAATCATCGGGTTCGGACACCGAGCAAGCAGCGCCTAAACCAAGGCTAGACCAGCCACCAAAGAGCCAGGTAGGACAACTCTCCATTGGGAAGCTTTCAAGTGAACTGGAAAGGGCCGTCTGCCAACCAGGAAGACTCCAGAACCTCATACCAAACGCAGTAAGCACATAATGATGCATACACAAAAGAATTCAGATCCATTAACCCTTAAACTGTGCATGGCGTATATATACACCATGAGTAACATGTCCCACCGTGCGCATGGCGTATATATATACGTCATTTGGGTGCCAGGCACGATTCAAATGGCCCGAGGGTCCACGGGGTTCACATTAGCTTCCTCAGGGCTCTTGTAAACAGACGCCATGTTTAAAATGTGGGCAATATTCTCAGGTGTGAGAGCCACAGTACTATGGGAGCAACCAAGGCTGGCGCACGCAGCATGAGCTAACAGCATTGCTGTTCAGCTTGTGACCACAGCATTGCCTAATAATATCAAAATAAATGTGTAAATGCAATTATTTAGCGATGACAGTATTACAGATGACTCCTGCCTGTGATAACAATGACCAGGATTGTGATAATAGTAGGTTTGTTGTGATAATTAGCGCTGTAATTAGCTAAGTGTAGTTACAGGACGAGAGCTACGCTTGTGGTGTCCCGTCTTCCCAGCACTCTTTGTCATATAACGCTTTGAAACTACTGACGGTCTTGGTCTCCACCACCTTCTCACTTAACTTGTTCCAACCGTCTACCACTCTATTTGCGAAGGTGAATTTTCTTATATTTTTTCGGCATCTGTATTTAGCTAGTTTAAATCTATGACCTCTTGTTCTTGAAGTTCCAGGTCTCAGGAAGTCTTCCCTGTCGATTTTATCAATTCCTGTTACTATTTTGTACGTAGTGATCATATCACCTCTTTCTTCTGTCTTCTAGTTTTGGCATATTTAATGCTTCTAACCTCTCCTCGTAGCTCTTGCCCTTCAGTTCTGGGAGCCACTTAGTAGCATGTCTTTGCACCTTTTCCAGTTTGTTGATGTGCTTCTTAAGATATGGGCACCACACAACAGCTGCATATTCTAGCTTTGATCTAACAAAAGTCATGAACAATTTCTTTAGTATATCGCCATGTGGGAGGAGTAATGCTGAGGGAGGGAGGGAAACTGTGTGGTCACCTGTTATTGCCGGCATTCACGATACTAGCTCAGTGGTTCTCTATATAACGTCTGTACATAGTGAATAAAAGCAAAAACAGTATGGTGGGAGGAAAATGTGGGCAAGTGAGGCATTGTTGAGGGAGGGAGTGGCAGCGAATGGCTGACTGGTGTGTGGCGGTCACTCCTTGTTGCTTTTTGACTCACAATACCAACTTAGTGGGTCGTTATGGTGAACAAAACATGCAGATACTTATATATAACCTGTGTATATGGTGTAATAACAGCAAAACTATTCGTTTATTGTTTTATGAACATAATAATTGAATCTACTAATATGCACACCATACGTTTGTGTATAGTGATGATTCACCTCTTTTATTATATAAATATATCACACTACACACTATTGAATAATATTACTGCAAAAAACTAAGAAAAAATCAAACAGAGATATTGAAATAATTAGGTAATAATATCTTTGTGGCAACTCCCGCCTTTCAGCTCGGGTGACGCTGATCGCCTCTGACGACTGCTCTGCCAACGCCAGAAATTTTGCCAGCAATGCCAACGCCAACACATTTTGCTAGACTTCCTCGGCCTATTGCGCTCAAAATATGTCACCTACGATTTTGTTTTATTTTTTCCCATGCTCAGGGAACACTAACATTTTTAGAAGATGAAATAATTTTTTAGAATTTTTTTGTCTTGCGCACAGGGGCGTAAATCTCCTCAGGTCCCTTAGCAGCTTAAGAGTTAAAAGGGTGTAATCCGGGTCGCACAGGAGGTAAACCTCAATGGCCTCCCGCATCACATGGTGCGGGATGAGGGAGGCCGAAAACCTCCAGAAAGACGGAACCAACGAACCCACGGGGTCACGGAACCGAACCTGGGAAGGGGTAGACGCCAAATCCAGTTCGGACGAGGAGGGAGAATAAGAGAACCCCACTCCTTGTAACACCAAGCTCTGCTCTGAGGGTAAAAAAACCCAAGTGGGGTCCAATCGAGCCCAAGGCCCCCAAGTCAACCCCTTGCCTGCCCGGGAACCTCACCCCGAAGACCCAGGGCCATACCAAACATCCATGCCTCTAAAGAAAATACAGGAGCCGCCGAAAAAGCAGAAACAAAGGGGGACCACTGGTCAGACCCAGCTTTGGCTGGAGGACTAGGCTCGAATGCCTCCGCCGCCACCCTGGAAGGGGACTCCCCGAAACTGCCCGAGTCTCAAAACAGACTAAACCTTGCTCCGACTCTGAAACCCTCAGACACTTTGGGGCCCGAAGCAAGGGAAAAGGATCAGGATGCACAACAGAAAGGGAAGGACTAGGGGGTGTGGATGGAACCAAAGCCGAGGCGACTAACACCCCCAAGTTCGTGTCCCCTTTAGCCAAAGCAGGGCAGTCTCAGGGCTTCTGGGGAAGAAACCAACCTCTTGCATTGAAGCAACCTAAACCTAGCATGCAATGCCAAAGCTGCATGCACTCGCATATGAAAAATTGTGATTCGGGGCTGCAGAAAAATTCGGACACTGAGCAGGCAGCGCCTGAAACCCAGGCGGGAAAAAGGTACAGAAACCCCCAAGTCGACCAGTTATGCCGAAAAGCGTCCACAGCGAGAGCCTCACAGTTAAGGAATGGCACCATGTACACATGAAGACGTTGAGAACACGCTGACATGAAGAGGTCCACCTCTAGGCGCCTGTACATCCGGCAAAGCCAAAGGAAAGAAGCAGCGTCGACCGTCCACTGTGGCAAGAGGAATGAAGCGAGACAGGCCGACTGCCAAGATGTTGGACACTCCCTGAATGTGAATGGCATGGAATGCTAAACCCCAAGAACTCAACAGTAGAGCTACCCGAAGCAACCACCTCCAAAGAGCCATAGACCAAAGAGACCCCGCCAGACTGAGACAATGGACCATTGGATAGCAGTCCGAATGGAGCCGGATCACTGACCCCTGAGAGAGCCAAATTCACTGCAGCACCAGCCACACAACCACAAACTCCCACACCATGCCGTGAGTCGACACATGGACAACCACCAAT